GAAAAAAGTTTCCTTTTTGATGCTCTGTACATGATTTTAGTGCTAGGGTGTGTGTGAGGTCTGTGTAGATGGGGCTTTGGCATTACAGGCAGTCAGAACCCCTGGCAGAGAGGCCTCGGTTTTTTGCCATTTACGTTCCCACTGGAATTTTTCTGGGATACAGAGCTAATAAGCTGACCTGACACTGGTTTTGTCACATTGTCTAATGTCACAGCCCTCAGCGGAGTGACCTTGCTGAATGCAGATGTGATCTATAGCTGCATGAGCACAGCTTTGTTGCATAAACCCAGCTTGGATCTCAGTAGGGTGGTTGAACTGGTTGTGTCTGCAAACCACTCTATTCTCTGGACTAAAATGAAGAATTAATTGACTTGGTTAAGAATTTGGGTGTAAATGAATGTAGTTATTTTCTGAAGCTTAGCCAAAGTATTATTTTGTATTAAAATCCTGCTGGTCTTCCCCAGTAAAAACTCTGTGATGGATGAAATAGTTGTTGCTTCATTCCTCTCTGTAACAGTGGTGACCTATGCAAAGCAGACACTAGAAGTAAATTGTATAAACTTTCTCTCTCTTTCTTCTTTCTACCCCTCTAAAAAATTTACTGTTGATCAGTGCTGATTCCCAAGGAAAAACCACCCATCACAGTTGTTGGAGATGTAGGAGGAAGAATAGCTATCATCGTGGTAAGTAAGATGCCATCACTTCTGCTAAATTACATTAAGCCTGTGAAAGTTGCAGAAGTCAAGTAGATATTCTCCTGTGTCAGCAACTAAACTTGGGTTGATGGTGGGCTTTTGGTACTGCACTGTTCATACAGTGGGGTTCTGCACTCTGGCTGAAGCTGCCCATGTGAACTATAAAGAGATGTATGCTGAAAAGCAGCATTTGGACCTTGTCTCTATGAAGAGACAGATAAAATCCTGTTCAAGTGCTTGCCTGAAGGTGGGGAGCTTAACACAGCTGGTTAGGGGAGCATCAGCATGTTTCTGTCTTGTGGCTTTAGAAATGCTGATGATGATGCAGCCTGCCTTATGGCTTCTCTAAAGCAGAGTGTAATCTGCACTTCTGTTAGTTTGGTTTTTGACTGAATGTCAGTTGTTTTGGCTTTTCCCGCTTTCCCTCATGGAGCATTCGCTCTGCCCCTTGATGCTGCAGTACCTTTGGATGCTCTGTTGCTTGCTCTTTTACCGTCTAGCACAGGTGTCTGAAGAACAGCATCAATAAAAATGGCCATTTTGCATTAGCTGTAAACTGTTAGACTTGTTCAAGATGTAATGTTGGTTTGTGTTTGCTGCTGGTGGAGCTTCACTGACCTGATCTCCTCTTGCCAGGATGACATCATAGATGACGTTGACAGCTTCCTGGCTGCAGCTGAGACCCTCAAGGAGCGGGGGGCTTACAAGATCTTTGTAATGGCCACACACGGTCTCTTATCTTCAGATGCTCCCAGGCTCATAGAGGAGTCTGCAATCGATGAGGTGAGCATGGATCATGGATTCTGAACTTCTCATTGGATGGGCTGGGGTTTTATAAGCAAAGAGCTTTCTCCTGACTTGATTATTAAAATACACTGGTGTGAAGAATTTAGCTGGGATGTTCCTGGGTTTGGGCTTTCTGACTGTGGAATTGTATGCTAGAATATGAGCATCTACACATCCTTAAGCTGTAGTGACAGGAAAATAGGGAACTTGGGAGATGAAGGACTGCCAATGCTGGCAGCCTTTGTTCCCTTCAGTCTGGGGGATATTTTCCTTCCTGCATTTGGATCTGCATGGCAGAGTGATTGAAGGGAAGGAAGGACAGTGCCATTAGTAGCCATGGATACATGCAATCCTGTGGCAGTGCGTGGCTCTTCCTAAGGTTTTAACCCTGACAGTAATGTAAAAGGTGGCTTCACAGGATCTGGTGGGTGGACATTCCCTTCCACAGCTTTAATACAGGAGGTGGAAAACAGCTACATCTTTCTGATTGTTGTTTTTCTTTCTGTAGGTGGTTGTTACAAACACAATCCCCCATGAAATACAGAAACTCCAGTGCCCTAAAATCAAGACTGTGGATATCAGCATGATCCTCTCAGAAGCCATTCGCAGGATCCATAATGGGGAGTCCATGTCTTACCTCTTCAGAAATATAGGACTGGATGATTAATGCTTCTCACTCTAAAGAAATAGAATAAACCCCAAACTGGGCCAAACTGGAAGCAGATACTGAGCTGTGAAGCATCATACTTACCTTAATATTTCTATTGAGCCACTTCTTGTTTTCTCTTGGTTTTAAGTATCAAGGTAGAACAGTTTTTAAGAGCATTTTTCTTTGCCGGGTTTTATTTTTGGGGGGGTGGGTGGGGAATAAACATTTTACAGCAAACCTGTTAGTTGCTTTTAGGTTAGTTGCACTATATACATGATGGAAAAAAATACCCCAAAACACTTGAGGCAAGAATTTGGCTTCTAAATTAAGCATTCCTTTTCCAAAGCTGCTTGCTACAAGTGCTTTAAAAGATAAGAAAATGAAGTGACTGTATAATATGTGCATTTTAAAAGCCAAAAAGGTTGTACTGTTGTTGGCAGTTGAGTGATTTTGTAGGAGTGCTTTTATAGGAAAGCAGATGAAATATGCACCTGTATTTATTTTCTGCCACAAAGAATAAAGACTTGTTTTTGTGTGAGCTTTCTAAAAATGTTCATGTACCAGTCACTTGTCTTCTAAAGTGTGTCCCCTTAAAGTCATCTGCAGGGCAGGAGGTGAAGTGATTCTTTTATCCTGATGTGTTCCTTTGGAATGTGCTTCTTGGCAGGACAGAGAGTGATAGTATGTTTGGTGGTTGTAATAGTGAAACACCTGCAGAGGAAGAGGAGGAGAAACTGCTTTTCCCTAATACTGATCCTCGTGGTCATTTATCAACCTATGTTCTGCTGAGCAGTCATGTAAAACCCAAAATACAACCTCTCACCAGCCCTTGCAGGTGCCACCAAAGGAGTGTAGATGAGTGATAATTTGGTAGTTCTGGAGCACTTCCAGTGCTTTACTTTAGGGAATGTAGGGAGCAAAACCTGTGGCTGGACGTGAGGGAACAACAGGGAACTGGGGGCAGAGGTTTCAGCTGGAATGCATGGGTGAGCTCACAAGTAACGGCTGTAGTGCAGAGCTTATCTTGTTGAGGTTTGTTTTCCCAGCCATCCTTAGGGAGGTGTGTGTGGAATGCCTGGCTAGCTGCTGAGCTGGGCTTCCAGTCTTGGAGACCTGACCTTCCTGACCTGTCACAGAGATAACTGTTTGAACTGATGAGCACGTAGGGGTTGTTTGGCCTAATCTCTCTCCATTAGTGTCCTCCAGAAGAGTATAAAACTTCTGGCATGTTCAAATCCAGAAGTTGACACCGTTTCTCTCTCCTTGAGACAAAATTCCAAGAGCTTCAGAGGGTTCATTTACTTTTTAAGGATAAAACCAGGTTTTACTTTCCCTTATCAGTGGTGGTGCAGCACTGGGTGCAACAGAGGCCTGTGACTAGAAGACACTGGTACTGCTCAGAGAGCAGTACTTCATCTTGGTGCATTGAGCCAGTGAGATGGTGATTTTACTTCGGAACCACACATTTCTGTTCAGATAACTGTTCTTCCTTCTCTGAGCTTCTGTTTGTCTGATTGGGGGTTGGAACTAGATGATCTTAAGGTCCTTTCCAACCCTAACTATTCTATGATTATTCCATTTGATTTTTGCAGTCCTGTCCAGGGAGGTACAAAATGACCAAACACAAGGCTGCACCTGGTTGTACTTTAATGATAGTGGGTTATTAAAACACTTCAGTGATGTTAATAGATAGACCAAGCTGACATACTAACACTTGTAACTACTTTGTATGTGTTAATGCAGTTAAATTCCAGCTGAGCAGTGAGGGAGAACTTCAGTTCCTCTCTCAGAGCACAGATCTGCTCCCGGGTGCGCCAGCGGCTGCTTCAGAGAGAGGAGAAACTTACTGACCTCTTAGTGATGGGCACTGTTAGTTGCAGTGTATGTAGTTTATTAGTGAGACCTTGTGATGTCTGGTTGGAACTTGTGCTGCCACTGGAAGAGGAGGCAGAATCTGGTGCAGCAAGTGGTGTGATTCCTAAATACCCCCAAGCATTAAATCTGTTTCCTGCTGGCCTTTGGAATAGCTTCATCTCTCCTGTGAGTGTTTGTGCTGGTCAGCTGTTGCTGGTGTGCTGAAGCTCCACGTTGGACATTCGTGTAACTCCTGTGTTTGATCATTACTTTAGCATGTAGAAACCTCCCAAATTTGCCTGGTATCATGCAGTGCAGTTACTGTATTGATGAGGACTCAAGGATTTGGGATCCTGAGGCTGATTTGCTGGTCCTGTGAACATTCCATAGTATTTAGCCTTTGAAAGGGTGACTTCACTCCGACAGTTTTCATCCCCCTTTCATTACGGTGTGTGGCTGTACAAGCTGCCTCATCTCTGCCTGTTCTTCCCAGAAGCAAAATCCCATGTTGCCAAAAACACCAGCTATTCCTCAAGGCGTTCCTCTGGGATCCTTCAGACGTACAGAACGCTTTAAAAATCTGCTTTATTCAGCAATTCCTACAGTAATTTTTCCATGGGAATTCTTTCCAGACTTCTCCAAGAGCAATGTAGGGTTTGGTTTTTATTTCCCAGAAATAGAATTTCACAGAAATGCATGAACTGAGGGGCAGCTTGGGCTGGAGCCTGCAGCTTCTTCAGGATTGAGCAGCAGCAGCAGGAAACCCCAAGGAAATGGGGATGAAGTGGCTGCTGCTTTGTAAGACTGAAATCTGGAGGTGCTGTCCCTTGGGTGCCATCAGGAAGGGCAGTGGGAAAACTGGAAGGGGAGGCAGGCAGTGGACAGCCAAGCTGCCCACCCCTGTGCCTTGGGAAGCGCAGCTCCTGCTGCCAGGTCATTTAATGATAAACCCTCAGCCTCTAACGAGTTACTGATCCAGAGCCTGAGGTGAGGCTGGGGATGGAGGAGGAGGAATGATGGAGGGCAACTCCACCGCTGGACCCTTCGGCCCCTCGCAGCAGTTCAGCGTTGCTGACCTCGTTGTCATAACGGCTTATTTCTCCTTAAACGTTGCAGTGGGAATATGGGTAAGAGTATTTTCTCCTCTTCCTTACTGCTTGCTTTTTTGAACAGGTTTGCTTTCAGGGCTGGCTTTTCTGCATGGAATGAATGTTTTGAAAGCCTTTTATTAGTGTCAGGTTGGATGGGGCTTGGAGCAACCTACTCTAGTGGAAGGTGTTCCTGCCCATGGCAGGGGGTTGGAACTGGATGAGCTTTAAGGTCCCTTCCAACCCAAATCATTCCATGATTTTCTTGTGCTTTGCACTTGCTCTGTATTTTGTGTGTTGTACAAACCCTCCACCCCTCTCACCCCCTATAGAAAGACTCCTACAACCTGAGAGCAAGGCGGAATTAACCACAGCACAGCCCTCTCCCCTGGCTTCTGGCCTGCTGAGTGTAAGCAAATCTGCTGCTTGTGTATTAGAGGGTGTTGAGACAAATGCTCTGCTTCACAGAAAAGGCCTTTGGCTACCTGAGGTTTCAGATGAGGGATCTCCAGAGCCATTTATTCTGCCTTGCAGAAAATCCATAGCCAAAACTGATCCCCATTAGCCAACCTGTCTGCTGGGGATGGCGGAAGGACGGGCGCATCTCCTGTGCTTCCCCCTCTTGGGGTGCCTCCTTTGCTGTTCATGGCTCCAGGTACTTGGGGTGCAGCCACCATTTTGTGTAATTAAGCTGGAGTTGCAGAGTTCCCATTAATTATCCAGAGTCTCCTGTCTCTTGGCTTCTTGTCTGGGAGACTCAGTTCTTGGTTCCTTGGTGTTTTTGAAAGGGTGCTCTGTGCTGATCTTTTCTCCTCCCAGTCTTCATGCAGGGTGAACAGGAACACCATCAGTGGCTATTTCCTTGCTGGCAGAGACATGGCATGGTGGCCAGTAAGTAAAGACTCTTCCTTGTGTGGCACCCCAGGCTTCAGGGACACCCAGCACCACCATCCCTCCCATCAAATTCCCTCTTCAGCGCCCCTGCTTTCTCAACCACATGCTTTCCCCCACCATGTACACCACCTCCTGCCAGGATTTGCGTCCTCGGAGCTGCATTTCCCTTCTCATTCCATGAAGGATGCTGGAGCACACTTGGCCTATTGGGTTTCCTCATAGGCTGCTCTGAACTCTGGGAAGGGTCACTGAAGTCAAACATCTACCTGGGGTTTCTGGTGCCTCCAACAAGCCATGGGTGTCCTTCATTTCCCCCCTTATTTCAGTGTGCTTTGGGTTGGAGGGAACCTTAAAGCTCACCCAGTTCAGACCTCCTGCCACAGGCA